TGATTGATGAGAAGCACACGAAAGCTTACTCGTATGTATTGTTGCGAGTAGGAGCTAAGTTTAGGTATACTCAGCCTCGCAATTTTGCAAAGCTAGTTTTGGCAAATTACATTTTTAACTCGACATCATTCTATAAGAATGACCTAAAATTAGTTGGTTGGTCAAGTCTTTTATTTTCCTTAGATTCATAGTCATTTGTAAATATAGACCTATAGTTCCGGGAAAATAGAATGAAGTTCTTTTTACTGAGTTATCTTTTTCTTCAATCTCAAATACACTTCGCCTACCACAGTTCAGATACCTAGATGCCTAACATACGCTTTATTTCCTCTTGCGAATTTTTGAAGGGTAGTTGTAGCCGGTAACTGAGTTGAGGGGAGTTGTGCTCAATAAGCGAGAATATACCGGGCTCTATTTGTAATTTAAACGAGGCGGAGGGCAAGACTGAGCACCTGTACGCCGTGTCCTCTAAGAACCTGGGAGTGAAATATTCTCCCAGAGCCAAGTTCAGTCAAATTTCGCAATATCAAAGAAGTTGGCCCACGAGGTAATGATTCAAACAACTCCACCACGTCGTTATTTCGCTCCCAACGAGTTTGACGCCTACCCAAGTCTCATCAAGTCTACAAGTACGACCTAGTACATCCTCATCCCAATGACCACACCTCTCTTCGACCTTCTCTGGTATCAGTTGACCACCAAATACACGCCCACGCCGATGTTTATACCCGATGGAGGGAGCAAAGCGTCGCGCACAAATCTGGGAGAATATTCTTTGGGATTGGCATTAGAGGATTCAGGACAAGTTGACAAGATGATACGAAGGAAGGATATTATCTCGGAGGGCGTGAAATTCTAATATTTGGCAAGGAGTTTTACGAATTGAGCTTTGTGCGCGCCAAGACTTCGCTTGCGAGAGTGCAGCTGACACTATAAACACAAGCCAACGATGGAAGGTGTTGTGGTCCACCTCCTGGTGGTGTTCTCTGGTTTAGTCTGAGTAGCCTGGGCACCTACTCCACTTGGGAAGGAGACGCCTCAGACCATATTTCGCGCGGAGAAAAGTTGAAAGATGATGGAGGCATGTCTGGATAACCCAGGGTTTTTGAGATGTTCCCCTGGGTGGGTATTCACGGATGAGGGTTGACTTGGGGTGAAGAAAAAGCCACCATAACTTCGCAGTGGTACCTGCAAATGAAATCTGAAGCATGAGTGCTCTTCCTTTACGTTGAATCATCAGTTCTGTACTTTTCTTTGATATTGTGTCATAGCTAGATAGCTGTATACGCAATTAAAATCTGATGCAAAAAAAAAGTCTGATGAGATCAGACAATACATACACTATTAACATGAAGTTTTGAGCTTTCTCTACGAGGGTAGCTTATTTGAGTTGTAAACATTAAAAGACACTTCGTTATGATTGTTGTGTGTTTGTGTTTATTGTACTACTTGATTCATAAACTATCTAGCACATTAGGCTCCTCTCTAACTTAGATCACACCTTGTACAGTGCTCCATGCCTCTTTTGATACATGAAAGATCATTGATATATTGCTCGTGATGAACAGCCATTCAGCTCACTGTTTATCCGTGGAATTTGGCCACTTTTTCTACGGAACCTTCTGCCCAAAAAAACCAAGAAAAATGGTAGCAATAGAAACTTCGTGAGCGGGAAAAAGTCTCAAAAAACCTGCAGTCCCAGCTAGGCGAGGCCGAGACACCGGGACCACATGAGGTGCGCATATTCATCTACATCTCCCTTTTTTATAACATTCGAGGCCAACTTGATCCAGTCTACCATCGCCGGATCGGTTGCTAGGTACGCTCCGGAAACTCATCGGATGGCATTTCCTCCATAATCAAGGGTTGGTGATGAGTAGGGCTTCGACTCTACCATCCGATCTGATTGTGGATAGCTTCCTGATAATGGTGAAAGGGGAATGTGTTGAGAGATGAAGACGATACAGACGGCGAAAGCGATTGGGAATTCTCGTCGAAGTGAGGACTTTGTTACTAAATTTCGGCTCTGCAGACTCTACAGTTAGAGCTGGAGGTTCGTAGGGGACGCCACTGACAGGTGTTGAGAATAGTCCCCCACGTTATGACTTTTGTATGTTAGACATATTTATAAATATCTCCACTTTTGTAAATACTACTCGATAATAAATAATAGCAATGCCTACGGTTGGATGATGTTACGGAATAACACGAGGTCGTTATTTGATTAATAAATTGATCGCGAAGATATGACTAACGTGCGAGTGGCTATTTAACATGTACTATTTCGTTTGGAACAAAACTAGTCAATGCTAAATCATACTCTTGCTAAGTTGACTATGTGATCGATGGTCAGTCAAAATCTGAGGAATATTTATGTAGCCATAACGCTAGATTGGTTTGTTGTCAGTGTTCACTATCACCCCATGACAGACAAGATTTTTGTAGGTTCTCTCTATCTGTAAGCCAGAGATACGGGGAATGAAAAGTCAACATCTGTCGTCAGCGTCCCTCTAGAACACCCAGCTCTAACTGTAGAGTCTGCAGAGCCGAAATTTAGTAACAAAGTCCTCACTTCGACGAGAATTCCCAATCGCTTTCGCCGTCTGTATCGTCTTCATCTCTCAACACATTCCCCTTTCACCATTGTCAGGAAGCTATCCACAATCAGATCGGATGGTAGAGTCGAAGCCCTACTCATCACCAACCCTTGATTATGGAGGAAATGCCATCCGATGAGTTTCCGGAGCGTACCTAGCAACCGATCCGGCGATGGTAGACTGGATCAAGTTGGCCTCGAATGTTATAAAAAAGGGAGATGTAGATGAATATGCGCACCTCATGTGGTCCCGGTGTCTCGGCCTCGCCTAGCTGGGACTGCAGGTTTTTTGAGACTTTTTCCCGCTCACGAAGTTTCTATTGCTACCATTTTTCTTGGTTTTTTTGGGCAGAAGGTTCCGTAGAAAAAGTGGCCAAATTCCACGGATAAACAGTGAGCTGAATGGCTGTTCATCACGAGCAATATATCAATGATCTTTCATGTATCAAAAGAGGCATGGAGCACTGTACAAGGTGTGATCTAAGTTAGAGAGGAGCCTAATGTGCTAGATAGTTTATGAATCAAGTAGTACAATAAACACAAACACACAACAATCATAACGAAGTGTCTTTTAATGTTTACAACTCAAATAAGCTACCCTCGTAGAGAAAGCTCAAAACTTCATGTTAATAGTGTATGTATTGTCTGATCTCATCAGACTTTTTTTTTGCATCAGATTTTAATTGCGTATACAGCTATCTAGCTATGACACAATATCAAAGAAAAGTACAGAACTGATGATTCAACGTAAAGGAAGAGCACTCATGCTTCAGATTTCATTTGCAGGTACCACTGCGAAGTTATGGTGGCTTTTTCTTCACCCCAAGTCAACCCTCATCCGTGAATACCCACCCAGGGGAACATCTCAAAAACCCTGGGTTATCCAGACATGCCTCCATCATCTTTCAACTTTTCTCCGCGCGAAATATGGTCTGAGGCGTCTCCTTCCCAAGTGGAGTAGGTGCCCAGGCTACTCAGACTAAACCAGAGAACACCACCAGGAGGTGGACCACAACACCTTCCATCGTTGGCTTGTGTTTATAGTGTCAGCTGCACTCTCGCAAGCGAAGTCTTGGCGCGCACAAAGCTCAATTCGTAAAACTCCTTGCCAAATATTAGAATTTCACGCCCTCCGAGATAATATCCTTCCTTCGTATCATCTTGTCAACTTGTCCTGAATCCTCTAATGCCAATCCCAAAGAATATTCTCCCAGATTTGTGCGCGACGCTTTGCTCCCTCCATCGGGTATAAACATCGGCGTGGGCGTGTATTTGGTGGTCAACTGATACCAGAGAAGGTCGAAGAGAGGTGTGGTCATTGGGATGAGGATGTACTAGGTCGTACTTGTAGACTTGATGAGACTTGGGTAGGCGTCAAACTCGTTGGGAGCGAAATAACGACGTGGTGGAGTTGTTTGAATCATTACCTCGTGGGCCAACTTCTTTGATATTGCGAAATTTGACTGAACTTGGCTCTGGGAGAATATTTCACTCCCAGGTTCTTAGAGGACACGGCGTACAGGTGCTCAGTCTTGCCCTCCCTCAACAGACTTGGCTGAGTGAAAATTTATTGGAAAATGTAGAAACATCGTCAGGGACATATATTGTCAAAGACATAACAAGGTCGACTATCTATTCAGCGCATGAGAAGACAGACTGAGCGGTGTACCATTGCACTATTGCAACATTACACCTCAAGAAGTATAATAAAAATCAGAAAATTAAATAGAATCTTGTACCGATTCGGATAGCTCTTAAGTGTCCCATCGGCAACTGTCTAGCGTTGCAGATTTTTGCGGACGGGATGCTAGAGATAGGGGCATGAATATAAAACACGAGGTGGGCGGGCGTTATCTCATGAGTTAAATTAAGGGAATTTTAGGCTAGTGAGAGGGGGAGTCACAGTAAAATAAATTCGAGACCGTCCTTTGGCATTACTGAGAGATCTGAAGGATATGAATTTTGGTTCGGAACGGTGGGAGCGACATTGCTCGGTTCCTGTGAAAGATGAATAAAATTGGTCATTGAAACACCCCTGTCATTCTTCCCCACCCCATGCAGGTCGACAGGGGCGCAAGCAAGCACAACGGACCTTCTCCATTCTTCTTGCTCTAGACATCTGCTCCCGATCACAAATTCCGGCTTCACGTCAGACCCAAGGCTTTTCTCCCTTATCTTTTACCTCGTTCATCTGCAGCGTGTCTCTATCTCCTTTCTAAATAGTCTGCCAAGAGTTGAAACCTACAGCTTTTTGAGAATTAGTGCCGCGGGCGGTCCAGATAAAGTGACCAAAAGGCTCTTTGTCTTCTATTTAATCTGTCTCTAAGCGTTTGCCATCAACATCAAAATACGCTCGGATAAGCACTCCTCGCCAACCACGAAACCCTTCGAAAAACATAGCACCATGAGTAGTCGTCGAAGGAAAGACCTAGCAGCTATTCGAAGACGCGTGCAAGACGATGGCGACGAGGAAACATGTCCAGAAATCGAGGAACTAGATGATGACTCACTTAGCGACGACTCGACGCACGCAGATGAATCAGATATACCCGAGGAATGTGAACTTGAAAGACCACTTGATTCGGATAAAGTAGGAGTCAATGGATTTGGTACAAAAAACCACATTCATTTAGTCGAAGATACACCGGAAGTGCTACCAAAAGTTACAACTAGTCTCTTCAATAAAAGAACTGCTACTATGGATATGATGCTAAACGGACTGAAACTTACAGAAGAGATAATGCAGCTGGACGCAGTATCTTATGAAGATTTACGTGAGGATGAATTTCAGGCCTCATCTCATCAAGCTAGATCTACCGCAAAGCCTGGTAAGCAGCCTCTTGAAGCTCTCCACGAACGACGAAGAAGGGAGCATGAGGAATACAAGAAGCGGCGAGATGAAGACCCTGCATTCGTACCAAACCGTGGAGCATTTTTTATGCACGACCACCGTCACTCTGGACCAGCTGCTAATGGATTCCGTCCATTCGGCCGTGGGAGAGGTCGTAGTCGGCCAGGCCATGGCGCCATATCGTCAGCATCTAAGTATTAACTATGCCTGATTTCAAACGCATACCCACTAACTACTGACAGCAAAATGCCCGTCTCAATCGAACCACCAGATGCACCATGGACTCACGATAAACATGAGGCCATTGCTGACCTCGCCCCTCAAAATTTATCGACGCCAGACCCCACGCTTAACTGCGTAAATCCATATTCTCGAACCTCAACGCTCACTTCTCAGGCTGCACCTCCTAACCGAGCTCTTTCCGCTACCAAGTCTCTTGGAAATGTTCTGATTCGAGTGGCTTTGCCAGCTATGTTAAGCCCTATTATTTTTTCCGGAATTCCAGTTAAACAGTACACTCGCCTTCCAGATCATCGTCCTCCTCTTAGGAGGGATAAACCTGTCCGGATTTCTCTACCTAAAAAGACGCCACGCTATATATTCCCTCCGGTTGATAGATCCTTTATATTTATCCCCCGCGCAATGAGACCTAATCAGCAAGGTTTCGGTAGTAGAGGAAGAGGTCGTTCTATCCTCGGGTCTGCCGGAGGCTATTCAAGACGAACAAGTGTTTTTGGCGGAAGCTTATACGGGAGCGCATACTCGCCAAGTATCGTCATGAGCCGCTGCTCATCACTTGCGAAGGAAGTGAACAGAGATAACTTGACATCTCCAAACCACTCCACAATATCTAAGACAAACATTGCAAATTCTTCGACGAAACCCGTAGTTCGACTGCCTCCAGCCCAAGATATACCTCAACCAAAAACGGCTCAGCACATAGATAACAAATCTGTTCAGGGTAGTAATCAACACAGCAGCGCATCAATCCCAATCTCAACTAAAAACGAGGTATCACCTGAATGTCAAGATTCTGAACCCTCAGACACCAATAAAGATCTATCAATAGAAATCCCTATGCATCAACCCCGACCCCATAAAACGGTTTCAGTTGCTGATATAGAGTCACCGACAATATTAAAATTTAACCCACCTCAACAACAGCAACAGCAGCCTTTTCACCATCAAGTTCCTGCTCAGGTGAATGAAAATATTTTTTCATTTGAACCCGGACTTCATTCCCGAAATGCTTCCTACCCAAGCCAAACATCGACGGGTACCCCTCTATCTCAGATTCCGGAGCGTGCGATTCACGCTCAGCCATTTCAGCCAAATCACTACCCTTCACAACAGTTTTATCCACAACCATGTCAAATTGCGATTCCACCTCAAGGATATTACTTTCCCCACCCTTTCGCCTCAGTGTTGCCTTCTAGTGGTGGTACTTCTCCATTCATTCCAACTTCGTCTCTTCAAGTACATCCTCCGCAATCTTCTCAGGAGAACCAATGTGAAGATACGACACCTCTATCTGGCGTACAGAACTTAGTAGTCCAAGAAGTTAATGGTATGGTGTACTACTATGATGCTGCTCAATTACCAGCTGTATCGGCATTTTCTACATATCAACCACCGCCACCATCATACCCAGCTCAACAGGTTGGGATGATGGAAATGGGTGTGATGGCGCCAAATAATGATGGATTTTACTACGCCCAGGGCCCTCATGGCTCCATGTACTATCCTCAATAGATAAAAGGCCGCGTGTGATGAAAACTCTCATAGTATGGTTAGTTTGGTGTTCTGCAGCGATTCTAGCCATAAATATACAGGGTTCGGTAATATTATTTCTAGTCTTTTTCATTGACGGTCAGTTACTATTATCATTTTAGGTAAAGATTTAACTGATACTTCATGGTTATTAATTGATGGAGTAGCTGACCATCAAATTTTTGCTGAGTCAGTTTCTCAGAATTGAGTTTCAACGTGGTAGTCTTCTATTGTCGCACGGTTTAAATGAGTACAGTGAATTTGTACACCCTAGTTAGTTGCAAATCGGGGAGATATGGATGGAATTGGCTATATGATAAAAAGTTTTTGAGTATTCTTTATACCTCTTTCAATGCACGTGATTTACGTCGTTTGACGCTCATCACACAAAAACACCAAATTTCAGAGCAGCCATAATTAATGTGAATATTCAGAGTATCAATCCAAATTTAGCTACGAAACAACTCGAAAAATTGGATTGTGAAAAGCTAGGCAGGCCCCTTCCCAGTTCATTCGTGACTGTGTCGTGTAATAAGGAGGTAAAGTTTTCGTTGCCCTTTCCAGTGGCGATCATCAGAGGTTATGGTTAAGTTCGAGCAACTTCCCTGTCTATATGAAAGTCATTATGTGCTGTAAGCTTCAAAGGGAGTTGGAGGCAAACATCTCTGGGAGTACGGCTCCAAACAACCAGCCTGAATAGGATTGGCTGATGTAATGAAAAATAGTAGATATGTTGTGTAGAAGACTTTTAATGCTTGCAGAAGCCGGCAAAGACGAATTCTTCACCTTCCAGTAGTGCCGGTGTAATCGCTCAGTATGCTCTGCATATCTGGGATAGCCAAGAAGAATCGCATCCGAATCGAAGTCGAAAGCAAACACATGCATATCTCCATTTGACGACTTCTCAATCATGCAGCACTCACCATTATCTTCTGAGTCCTCAACCTCTTTCTAACCACATATCATCTCGCCTCGACGACCGATAAAGGCGTCACCCCAATTGCAAACAGGAGCTTACCTCAATCATTACCGGCCATCACTCACTACAAACTTACGACGCTACGTATACACGCAAGGAGGAAATAAGTCATAATATACAAAGTTGAGGTCTTGGTTTATGGGGGACTGATGCTCTAATGGGGTAATACATCTTGAGGAAGAACAGGCGGCTGAGATGTGGAGCGAGAGGGGGAACAGGTCTCTGAAGACCATGCTGGGACTGACATCTTCGAGGAGTTTTCAGGTTTGGATATTTTGTGGGCGCCAAGACCGAGATTTCGGCTAATTAGCCAGTAGGACTTCTTTTGTCAATGATTCAACGGCACTCCCAGCACCCTGGACGGCACAAAAGAAGTTGGGCTAAGCTACCGTACAGCAATCACGCTCTGTCAAGACTTTCATGGCATTTCATCATGACCTTTGGAAAGGATTTGGAAGGATGCAAGAAAGGCAGAGTGTGAATTCTCCGAAGCATATACAAGTCTACGGCGCCCAGCTGGCCGGCCTCTTCGACCACTTCAGAGGGGTCACTATGTCTTCGGATCTAGTCCTAATGTCGGTATTAGAAGAGTCTCTTTTCCAGAGGTTTTTGCAATTTATCCCGGCTGCCATACACCCGCAAATGGCCATCGTTTTGTTGCCTGTAGAGGGGAGATAATGAAGGGCAAAGGGTTCCTCCAAGTGTACGATCAAATGAGGACTTGTGATGGGAGCTGTATAGGAGGCATAGGAGGGGATATACTACTGGTATAGGTATCCTTGGCCTGTAGGCAGAGGGGACCTGCATGTCCTACATAGTCATAGACTCAGACAGGACAATAAAATGAATTAAAAAAAAATGCTTGCAGAATCAGCTGGTGGAGCCCTTTAAGTCGTGGCATGAGCTGAGAGGCTGAAGGCTCAATGTCATATCCATCACGAGCCAAGCTGAGTCAATTTTTGCAGTGGATAATTTAGCCTACGAGGTATAATTCAAGACTTCTTACTCCATCGATCTTTCGCTCCAAGCAGAATCGATTCTAATCAAACTTCCTCGGTTACATAGATATGACCTGGTGTATCCTTATTTCAATGATTGCGATCCATAATAACCTGCTCTTCAGCCTCAGCCGGCCACCAAATCCATGCCCACTGTAACATATATTTCGAGAAGAGGGAACAGAACTGGCGAAGCGAAAATGAGAAAGACGAGAGAGAAAGGTCAGGAAAATTAGAGAAAATTATGCTAATGGTGGATACAGTCTCGAAAAGTGTGAGATTTTGAAGCATGGGATGAACTTTTACAATTTGTAGATTCTTGCGCGTTTGTAGACGATATTATAAACACCGCGATGGTTGGATAGTGTATTGGTACACCATTCAGATCGATCTTTCCAGTAGAATCCGGGTAGCTTGGATGCATCCCTCTCGATAGAGGGGACAGTTCGATCGAAGTCAACAAGACTTGATCGAATTCCACGTATTGAAGGTGCGCATAGACAACGAAGTCATGCTTGGACAAACAAAGTTTTTGATAGTTTTCTCTATTTCTTACTCACGGACGATGGCTGAATGATTAGTGTAAGCAAATATTCTTCGTGGTGTGTGTGCAAAGGTAATGTAGAGCTCGAGTACTTCAATAGTCAGAGGGTTCATCTATCATGCACAGAAGGCACTAATCATGAGTCATAGATATCAACTTAGACGTTTAACGGTTAGATAAACAGCCCTATACGCTGATACTCAGGGGTCACACATGCGATCAGACGCGCGCTCACACATTGGTCTATAGCTATCTTGACATACCAGTGAGCAGATATCATTGAATACCTCTCACTTATCATCCAAAAACACCCTTAATAGTGCTTCTTATTACTTGGTATCTCATCACATTTGCTTGATATGATGTAACCTGTTGAACATATAATTTCAGGAACCTTGTTTGAACCGAGGTTAAGTTGAATTCTTAATAGTCTTATCTTCAATCTAGGAGCATTAGGGCTAAAAGGGAAATATGTTGGGGGCAAATTTAGGAACGAAGGTGCGAGCTGAAAAGACATCTTCCGACTGCAAGACTCTCTCCACCCTCGTTTTGGTACGCAGGCTTCATCCCAGTTACAAGACAGGAGGTGCGAGTTCTCAATTCTTTAAGTCCAACACCAGTGTAGGTACATAGCGGCTCCGGATCCCCTATAATTTTTCTCATTACGGAGACTGGACAAGGGGTAGACTTTATATAAATCAGTAGAGAATCCATCTTTTTATTTGCTTACACGCGTCGTTCTGCGGCCTCCGTGGACTGAGAAAGATCCCAAGATTAAAAGTTGCAAACCCAGCAGTGGATAAGTTCCTCACTGATACGCATACATAGGTCCATCCTCGTTGCCACGGGTTTGTATCTAGATGTCTGCTTCTATCCACCACCAGCTAGTCTGCGTTTAGAATTCAACCATGTATGGTAGCTGAGACTCCATTAGAATTTGAATTGCAATGACTCACATGAAGTCCTCTGCGAGATGATCTACTCGTCCTTTACACGGTAATCAGGCCTTTATCCACATTGATAGAGACAATAGGGCTGATGGTGCTTAGTCGGATATCATTAATAATTGTTTTATCGCCCTTCTTCGATTTAGATTTTAAAGGACGTGTGGGGCTTTTGCGACTACAGGTCAGGGATACTTATCCCACAGTATATCGTCAGCTGGGGCGATTGGAGAGACATGAGGCATGACTCGTTTTTATTCTATCCATCAGGATACCGGCTTCTTCGAAGTCCTCACTCGCCTCCTTCCAATTCCTGATGTAGACGTGAACGTGCTCCTCTCGTTACCGTTGGGGAGAGCTAATAAAGAGTCAATATCGGATTGAAACAATGTAAGAATTTACAGGCCCCTTGAATCAACCACAGTTCTCAAAGCTCAAGGGCCCAAAGTGATGAAACGGATCACTATTCCTCTCCATCATAGTGAATCCCCGTAGGTAATACTCTAAATGCTTCGGAAACTTAATTTAACGGAGCAGCCTAGAGTCCTCCTGCGTAAAACAACGCATCTCAGAGGCTGAATCCGATTATCTGCCCCTTATTCTGTGAGACCATGACTGGCAGATCGAATATTTTGCACTGGTATAATTTCGTATTGCCGCCTGTAAATAGTCATGATTCGAGGACTCTATTATAATCTAGCCCGCAGTAATAACCTTCTCACTGCTAAAGGAGTGGATGCCGTCATTCTGTAGGTTCTAACAGTGACTTATCATGTAGTCTATCCGAGGGCCTCGTGACGAGATAGCTGGGTACCCGAGAAGTACAACCAAGCACGCCAGAGGAGTCGATAAATAACGGGCTTTTATTTCAGCAATCCGATACAATAAGACTGAAAGAGTTCCTAGTCTCAAAGAAGCTGATCAAGAACTCTATTTTTATGCTGTTTCTTGTATCTGCAACCATCTAACTATGACATATGTCCAGCAATATGTGTACACGCCACAAGAGTCCTTTAATTTTCGAAAGTTAATACTCTAAATGCCATTCGTAAATACCATTATAAGGTATGTTTGCTCACACAAAAAGTCGACCCCCCTCCGTAAGTATCCATTAAAGGGACGTTTCAACCCTTTTTATTATCCAAGCATACCTTCGTCGTCCATGCGTACCAGCGCCACGAGAAATATAGTTCAATTTTGCCGGATTTGAACCAGCAGTCTCATGTCTCAAGTGGTGTATATGTCCAAGCTATCCACACTCTACTTGGTAGACTGGCCCAGACGATGTACCACCGCACCATCCATCCATGGCGGTGTTTATAGTGTCGCCTGCACTCTCGCAACCGAAGCCTTGGCACGCACAAAGCTCAATTTGTAAAAACTCCTTGCCAAATTTCAAAATTCTACGCCCGACGAGAATGTATCCATCCTTCGCATTATCTTGTCAACTTGTCCTGAATCCTCTCACGCCAATCCTAGAGAACAGTCTTCCAGATTTGTGCGCCACGCTTAGTGTCCTCCGTCGATTATAAATATCGGCGTTGGCGTGTATTTGGTGACTGGCTGAGGCCAGAGAAACTCGACGAGAGGTGTGATCACTGGAATAAGTATGCACTAGGTCGTAGTTGTAGACTTGATGAGGCTTAGGTATGAATCGGACTCTTTGGGAGTGAAGATTTGACGTGGTGGAGTAGTTTGAATTATTGCCTCGTGGGCCAACTTGTTCGATATTGCGAACTTTGACTGAACGTGGCTCTGGGAGAATATTTCACTTCCAGGTTCGTAGAGGACACCGCGTAAAGGTGTTCAGTTTTGCCCTCCAGACTCGGGTCTTATCCATAAGTGAAACATAGAGGTTTGTTGTTGGCTGGTTGCGGGGGGACCGCATCAAGCTAGTGTCCATCTCACAATTGACATGAATTGGCACAGCATCTATTGAAACTGTGGCCATCTCGTGGTTCTAGGACCAAACCCTCTGATGATGAAACTGTCGATTGGATAGCTTGCAAGATTGCCGCAGACTTAGTACACTAGATGAATAAGGGCGCATATATCCGGAAAGGGTTGAATCTGAGGCAGTCCATGCGTAAAATTGCGGGGCCTCGCGGGCCTAGTCATGATGATTTGGATGATCTCCGCCATGGTATAAATGAATGGATATTTATTCGTAATGGGCACAAGGCGAGCACTCATAGACCATGACAGGGAAAAGGCTAGTTCTTCCCAGACGAGTACATACAACGATATTGGGATGGATAGTTCAGTGGTACACTATTCGGGCTATTCTCCCAAGTAGATACAGGGTAGCTTGAACATCTACCTCATTTGAGACAAGAGAAAGCTGGCTCGAATCCAGTTGTACCCACACATCAATCTCTCTCACGGTGATATTTTATTTGTGGGATGATGAAAGCACGCTCGGATAACCATTGGTCTTCACGCTTTTCCCTGTGATGGATATGCACGGAAGAGGTTGTACGCCGTAAGGGTTAACCTCCAGTGGTATCTGCAAATGAAAACTGAGTGAGGGTGTTCTAAAACGTCAAATTGAGTCATCCTAGTTTGAGTAAATATCATCCGACAAACCCTGCATGGGCCTCAAGGCGTCAAATCAGGAAAATTGATTATTTATTTATTTACATACAACGATAACTCAGTTTGACATTTGGCCTTCTCATGTAGTGGGTGCATTCGCTGATAACATTTTAGACCATTGTGCTAAGGACTTTCACCCTTCCCTCAAGCGTAAATATTCACCAAAGGGAAAACTGTTAAAACTCTTGGTTTTCCTAACATGCTTTTGCCATCTTGTGTACAGTGACCGCACGAGATATGATCCCACAGTCCTTCCTTTCTCAAGCGAGGTGGGTGTTCAGGCTGCCCAGACTTTAATTCGGGGAGACGATGACCAGGAGGCGAACCACAACTCGATTTTTGCCATGGACGTACGTGAAAGACTGATGGTGTTCTGATAACTCACCTCGCAGCCATTCGACATTAGAGCTTGCATAAATCTTTGACGAATAACTATACCACATGTGCGTGCAATACTTATCGTCTGATGTGGGGCAGGCCCACTATACCATTGGGATATAGCACGTATGAAGAGTATCTATAATATATGATCCTCCAAGATTCAGTGCTGCCCGGCTTTTCGTGATACATGCATCTGAGCCAGCTAGTTACATCGGGTTGGATGCGTGGGAAATTTTTTCCACGATCCCAAGGTCGCAGGCCGAGGGACAAAACTTGTCAGGAAAACCTCGGTCATTCCTCCCGGTCTCATCCTTGATGAGTGTTCGCAGTCAAGACGAAAATAAGCCATGTGGGAGTTCTTTGTGAAATGGACGCTGATGATGGGGGTGATGAGACAAAGTCGAAAATTAAACCTCATGTTCTGACTATTGGACAAGGCTATATTTTGGTATAAAAGTTTGCAGCACGTCGTGCCAGAACACTGTACCATGCTGTACAGATCGGAAGAGCGGCCTCAACATGTTTATAGCTTTAATTAGTCGTTGGTCCAAGGTCTAAATCATTATTCGACACAAAGACGTAGCCAGTCGTAAGGTCAGAAATTACTATAATGATGCCAGAAAGCCACGATTGAAGTGTTGTCCAAGTTGATCATTTTTGATGTGAAGTCTCTGCGGTCTAAATGTATTATCATAGATCCGTGTCCCTGCTATCAAGCATAATGCCAGTTGCCGGGGCGCACTTTATGCTGTGAGCTACCCCTCATGTCTCCATCCACTAGCTTTTGACTACCGTTTCTCAAACTGTGCTTTCGTCTTCTAGTATAGAGATATTGCTCCAGTATGTCTATAATTATCGATCGGATTCTTGCAGCTGCGCCCACAACCGAACGGGGTCGGCCATCAAAGCTTTCGGCAGATCCCAAGGGAGAACAGTTAGCGTATGCTGTGAGTCTTTCTAGCATAATCAGCCAATAGCCACTCGAAATACAGATTGAACCGCGAGACAACAGAAGCCAAATTCTAATTTAAGCCTCTTCTAGTCTGGCAAATCAATCTTTCTACGATCCATTGATAACCCTTCGCTCAGCAAGCAGTATACATCACATATCGCCCAGACTACGGTAGCTCAATTCTCGCCGTCTGGATATTATGTCGCCTCAGGAGACGTGACCGGAACAGTCAAAGTCTGGGATTCCGTTGAAGCTAACATTACGAAAGGTAAGGGAAATGATAGATATAGATAAGTGACAGCATTGAACAAGCGTAGGAGAGTACCAAATTATATCGGGACGGATAAACGACATTGCATGGGATGGGGATTCACAACGCATCATTGCGGTCGGTGATGGCCGCGAACGCTTTGGGCGCTGCATATTGGCAGATAGCGGAAATTCCGTGGGCGAAATAACTGGACATTCATCAATTATAAATGCTGTTTCTATTCGAAAACAACGTCCCTTAAGGGCCGCTACGGTTGCTGATGATTGCAGCTTAATTTTTTTACACGGTCCGCCTTTCAGGTATGCGGATAAGATTGGAAATAAACACAATAGATACATCTACGATGTACAATTTTCTCCGGATGGAAACAAACTTGTAAGTGTTGGTGCCGACCGAATGATTCATTTGTACGACGGCAAAACTGCAGTCCCTGAGATGCAAATTGGTAAAGATGAGCACAAAGGAAGTATTTTTGGAGTCTCTTGGGCTAGTGATTCCAAGAGAATAGTCACAGCCAGTGCAGACCAGACAGTAAAGCTATGGGATATAGAAACTGGAAAGAGCCTGCAAACATGGAAATTCGGTGAAGAGAATTGTGTAAGTATTGCGGATCATCAAGTGGGCGTAGTCTGGCCAGCTTCTCGGAATGACGGCCTTATTATCAGCTTGAATCTAGCTGGAGACTTAATATACCTGGTTGAAGGCACCGAAAATCCCATCAAAACTATACAGGGACACAACAAGAGTATTACGGCTATGGGGTCTTCTGTCAGTAGCAAAGGCCAAAATTTATTCACAGGCAGCTTCGACGGCAGGGTGTGCGCTTGGGACATGTCTTCCTATGCTGGTTCCACAGTTCAAGGAGAATGTCACAAGAGCCAGATCATTGCATTCCAGACGACATCAGACAAATTGTATAGTGCTGGCTGGGATGACAAGCTTCGGATAGCGGATATATGCGGAAAAAGATATGTTGGAGACGCTGTATCAATATCGGCACAGCCTAAAGGACTGGCAAGTGCGGAAGGCCGTGTATTTGTGGTTACATGCAACGGCGTTGACATATTCACCGACGATAAACTTGTGGCTAGCTTACCAATCAAGAATTTCAACCCAACTGCGATCGCAGCAGTAAAATCACTTGTAGCAGTCGGAAATGATAAAAATATGGTGCAAATTTACACCGTGGGAGAGGATCACCAGCTTTCTCTCCACAAGGAGCTTTCTGATTCGCAAGCAGGTGTTGTAGTCCTCAGCTTCTGCGAGGACGGCTCTCTCCTGGCGGCCTGTAACACGATGGGCAAAATCATAGTATACGAGACGAGCTCTTGGTCAGTGCAGACGAATCGTTGGTCGGCACACACGGCACGAGTGATGAGCTTCGCTTGGAATTCGACTGGTACCCATGCAGTTAGTGGTGGACTAGATAACCATGTTTATGTTTGGAGCTTGAAATCTCCGGGAAAACGTATACAGGCACAACATGCTCACAAAGATGGTGTGTATGGAGTTTCATGGGCTGATGGTGACAAAAGGATTGTAAGCACCGGAGGAGATGCTACACTAAAGATATGGGATGTCTTGGATCTTGACTAGTTACTATAGCAAAGGAGTAAAGGAATGGCCCTGAATATACATGAGAACATAATTGAGATTTCTGAAATCTTTATTTATTTCGGTCGGAGTTTTGTATGTTAATTTTATAATTTCTTCATAGTCTTGGACTTATGAGAGACTGCAGTAAAAATCTTTGTGTAAAACTTGGAGAGATCTTCGTGTGAATTTCACGTGAATCGTCATAAGATGAAAGCGAATACAAGGATGAATTGATTAATGTTATCCGTGCTACAAGTCCATCTTTTTATTTGCATCAGATTTTAATTGCGTATGCAGCTATCTAGCTATGACACAATATCAAAGAAAAATACAGAAAAGATGACTCAATTTACAAGAGGAGCACTCATGCCTCTCAAGTCCATCTTAGTACTATAATATCTAATTCTACCCTATTAACGTCCCTGATCATCATTACTAGTCTAACATGGCTGCACGCAGATCGTGCTTTCGCTTTTGGACTGGATCCAAACTTATGCAAGCATAAGTGTGCTTACACTTTGTAACAAAATAATGTACAAAGAGGTTATGCAACCTTAGTGACCACGGCCGGCCCAACGATGATCTTAAGTCTGTTCTCATAGTAGCCTTGTTCGGATTAAACCTACCCCGGCCACGGTCCTCATTTCTAAAACATGGGGTAATGCAGCTCTTCGAGTTTTCAATCAATAATAGAATATGGCACCTCCTGTCATTTCACCTAGGACACGAAGACCATCGCGTCCATCAATTAATGTAGGTTTCTTTGCGACTGTTTTGCCATTCAAGGTTAAATAACATCCCTCAGAAAATTAGGAACGGTACCTTTATCCTTCCATCCACGGGAGAACGCCTACAGCATCAGATCACTCTTGTTGAAAACTCTAGTGTAGTTCCCAAGTCTTACGCCTGTTCTATCACATCAAATGCATCACGGCAACAACCACGCTTACGTCGCTCGCTTGCCGACATTATGCGCCACGAACTCCAGACCTTCTGGCATTGGATGAAGTCCCCGACCGGCAAAGGCATCTTGAAGTGTTCACTAGGTTATCTTCTGGGCAGCATGGGGACATTTCTACCACCGCTGACTAATTTTCTCGGCCGTCAGGATGGTAAGCATATTCTTGCTACTATCACAGTCTATTTTCACCCCGCTAGATCAGCAGGATCCATGGTCGAGGCAGCCGTGTTGGGTCTCGCGGCCTTCCTATACGCAACTTTTGTGGGTATTTCGAGTATGGCAGTCTCTGTGTTCTTCGAGACCCAGCTTGACTTAATTGAAGTCGCCTATGGGTTGATTTTAATAGTTTTCTGTGGTGGAGGGCTTGGCTTGGTGGGCTGGTTCAAGCAAGCCTACAATTCTCCATTGGTTAGTGTGGCTTGTAGCTTAACTTCACTGGCCATTATATCCATTGTCACCAAAGAGAATGCTATCCAGACTGGCGTCTTCTCAAATGATAAAATTATCCAGGTTATGAAGATGGTTTCCATTGGTATCGCTTCAACAGCGTGTATTTGTTTTTTAATATGGCCAGTCTCAGCCCGCTTAGAGCTCCAGAAAACTATGATTAAAACTACTGAATCCGTCGGGGAGATGCTTTCTTTGATCAGTCAGGGGTTTATCAGTGGATCTGACACAGGTATTCGGTCTGGCTTGTTTACAAATACTCAGAAAAAACATAAGGTCCTTTTTACACAATTAACCAAATGTTTAAGGGAAGCAAGATTCGAGCACTATATACTTGGAACAGAGAACCAATACAAAAACAAAGCCAAGTTAGTAAACTGTTTAGAGAGGCTCGCATTATCTATTGGTGGCCTAAAAAGTGCTGCCACTACTCAGTTAACCTTGTTGAAAGAATCGTCAGGGATCAGCAGCTCAACACCCACCAACAATTCACGATGTACTCCCGAAAGTTTCTTCGATCTTCCGCTTGCGACCAACAATGGTCGGGCTGATAAATTTGCTGTCTTGAAATCTATCGAAGAGGTTGTTGACGAACTTGGATTTACAAGTTCAAATCAAAAAGATACCTTGCCGCAAGCAGACAACTATCGATCCCTAAGCGTAATTAGTGCAGAAAGCTCGTATTTACCTACCATACGAACACCATCCGAGATATTTTCGCGCTTTATAATGCTCCTTGGGCCATCCATTAAATCACTTGCGTACACCCTATCACAGATCCTGCAGCAAATGCCATTTTGCGAGGACTCACTAGAAGCTATAACAGTTATTGAACAATTTAAGAAAAGCCTTGGGGGTGCAATGTAAGTAAAAATTTTATTACAACGCACAAATCGAGCTAAAATCACCAAGGACTTTGTATTCAAATGCTCGCTCTGAAGCTTTAAAAGAGCTTTACAAGAGCAAGGAGCTAAACCGGGAGAGGCCTGCAAGTATTGAAGCAGACTTCGAAGAGGTTGCTGCTAGCTGTGGTCATTTCAGCTTTTCTTTGTTAACGTTCGCAAAAGAGATGCAAAACCTAATGGATATTCTCGAAGAGCTTAAAGAACAAACTGAAGATACACATCGTTCGTGGAAATGGCTAAAATTTTGGAGGAAACGGCAGAATCCATCCACACTAGATCCTGAGGAGGAGCCACTTGTGGAACGTATTCCTGACAATGCGACTTCAAGGCGATATCCCGATATAATACTCAATAAACAAGCATCAGAAGCACTACTCGCATCACAGAGATTCCCGGATATATTGGGAAGTTTTGCGTATCGTCTTATATCATTTGCGAAAATGTTAGATCGGGATGATGGTTGGTTAATTTCAATCTATATTTGGTAGAAACTAACGGGATGTAGTTCGTTTTGCCATTAAAGTCGGCATTGGTGCCTCGCTCTATGCTTTGCTTGCGTTTATTCCTGCGACAAGACCGATTTATCAGCTCTGGAGAGGTGAATGGGGTCTTTTGTCTTACATGCTTGTGTGTTCAATGACTATTGGTGCCTCAAATACCACTGGCTACAGTAGATTCATTGGTACCTTTATTGGAGCTGTGATAGCGAATATTGTCTGGATAATATGCCAAGGCAACCCCTTTGCATTGGCATTCTGTGGATGGCTAATTAGCCTGCCATGTTTCTACCTCATTGTTGCTAGGGGTATGCCTGCTTTCGGAAGATTCGTTATGTTGACCTACAATCTTTCTTGCTTGTACGCGTATAGCATGTCGATTCAGGAAAGAGAAGATGATAAAGATGAGGGTGGAATAGCTCCTATAATCTCTACTATCGCTTTGCATAGGTTAGTGGCCGTTTTTGTAGGTGTTATCTGGGGCCTTATAGTTACGAGGATCATATGGCCGATATCTGCCCGACAGAAGTTTCAACACGGTCTTTCTTTATTATGGTTAAGGATGGGTCTAATTTGGAAGCGGGATCCACTTGCAACACTTCTGGACGGAGAAAGCACAGTTCCTTATATGGACATACGAGAAGAGTTTGCTCTTCATAGATATCGTGAGTTCCCTATCATGCATTCTCTGAGACCTTAAACTAACTTGCCAAGTTTTGCGACTTGAGAACCTACGAAATTCCGCCAAGAGTGAGTTTGAACTCAGAGGACCATTTCCCGCCAAAGAGTTCGAAAATATCATGGATTCGACGAGTAATATTCTAGATTCCTTACATGCTATGAATGACATTATACAATCGAATAAAGCTGTTAGTGAAGGTGAAACCTTTCTACTTCAGTACACATCCAACGAAAGAGCACATCTCTGCTCATTAATTAGTCATCTATTCCATGTCATCGCAAGTTCACTTAAGATAGAGTATCCAATGAGCGATGCGCTTCCTAGTATATTACAGGTTCGCGACCGCCTTCTAAGCAAGATTTTCAAGTACCGAAAAACTTCCGTGGATGCTGAGCTCACAGGAGTACTCATGCTCAAAGACGAGGATTATGAATCATTGTATGCCTTCATACTCGTAACGGGTCAGCTGGCTGAGGATTTTAATAAGGTGGAGAAGCAAATCATAAATCTTTATGGGGTCATGAACGAAGACATTTTGAGACTAACGTAATAATGGTTTAATTTCCGGTTTTATGAGACCTTGTTACACGTGACCAGACGCGAGTTACCTAAACTCTTCGATGGATTCGGACATACAGAACAGTATTCACCCGGTTTACTTCTTCAGCGCTCATACGAGCTGAGCCCCAAAACCAACCTCACGTGAATTTGTGTGTGTGTTGAAGGAAATGGCCCTTTACGATCCCTGTCAAAATTTTTATATAATGATAACTGAAGTTCCTTTAACGCCACAGCTTAATCCATCCAACTTATCAAAAATTTAGTTCTCGAATCGTTCCTTTTTTCTGCTTCACATTATACTCGACCCAACTGGCCAAATTCTTTCTTTCACTTAAGACTAACCTCCCTGGGTTCATGGCGCAACAGCCTTCATAGGTGATGCTGAACGCAGGCACGTCCGCGTCCGCTAGGACGATCGCGGTTGGGAGTGGATAAATCTGAAGAACACTTGCATAGTCCCAGAGAACAGGGCGCCGCGCCAATGGGAAAGGCGAGAGATAGCCTTGGTCAAGAATTGTTTTTACCAGTTTACGTGTGTTCTGGAGAAAGGGGTCGGGCGTAATTGTACCAGAATGGCGTGGCGGAGACAGTGATTTTGCAACAGTAGGCTCAATTTTTGATGTTGCGCGTGGTGAGGGTAGATTTATGGGTTTGTCTTCACATTGAGCTGTAGTCGGTAAAGGTGAAAATCGTATAGCGCTACGGCGAAATCGAGACGATAAATCATCTCTAAAGAGCAGTATTTCATGCGTAGCACCAAGTAGTGAAAGACGTGATGGATTGCTTGTCCAGATAGCTTCTCCCGACGTTTTGTGGCCTTGATCTTTTTCTGCTTCAGCATTCGCCGTGGTAAAAGCACGCTTAACGCGGGAAGTGAATATTTCCGGAATTCCGGGACGAGGCAATGCAGTTGCTGCGCCTGCACCGAATGCTGAAGCCCATCCATCATTATCACCAGGAACGAAGATGAATGAAGAGTTCTGAAGGAGCAAAGGGTACTCTGAGAGTAAAGCCGCAAGGCTGTCAAAGTACTCCTTGTACTCAATGCTGCCGCTACCACCATGCGCCATCACAGCATACTGAACGAAGTTACCCATGAGCACAAAGGCCATAGGGCAATCCGCCTCAGTTTCGGTGGCGTAGAGACCAAATAGTTTCTTCAAAGCCTGAAGCGTGGTGGGTAAGTCGAGATTGACTTCCCCTAATATCACCACGCGGCCTCGACCACCTGAGCCATTCATGGAACAGCTGGTCCACATAAGCTTTTCTTCAATCTTGCGCATCTTTGAACCTACCGCGCGCTCACTTCCGACACCCAGGAAGTCCACCCATCCAAATCCGCCTCCCACCGTCGAGCTATCGATACCCGTGAGACCTAGAGTGGCTGCACGCCTTTCGCACGTTGGCCCTCCCACACCGAACCCGACAAATTTCCCCCCTACACTTCCACCGATACCACCGAGCTCGGCTCCAGAAGCATTGTCTTCCTCTAGGTATGTACCATCGACCAAGATTATCATACCCGGGACAAACCAAGCGCCATCCTCGGGAATCGGTCTCGCGTGTGTCAGATCTAAGGCTATACTCCCAGTCAAGTCGCTAATTGCCAATGTTCCGACGGTTGAAGTAGTTAGAAGGCCCAATATCATATGATTCGTGCCATTTCTTCCAAGAAGATTGCTTATAGGTGTTAGCTTGTAAGTGCGCTGTGAGTCCTCCAAGACATCGGACGACCGGGAAGGTTGGAAAGCTGGCACTTGAAATGACTCATTTCTGAGTAGACGTTGATGGATAAGATTATACCGGTTCCGAAACAGTCGAGTTTTATGAGAAGCCGGCGGGAACAGCGACGGTTTACTTGTTTCTCTTGAGAAGTATTAGCGATTCCGTAAGTGGTAAGGACGCAACTGGGCCTCGTGCCTGTCAAAATGTTTCTTTCCTACATTGTATATGAGTCTAGGTTGCTCAAAGGCATCGATGACCTTGAGCCATTTCCGAGGATCTCGAAGCGTTTCATCTTCCTCTTCAGGAATGTCATCTGTCCCAGTATTTGGCTGCACTAATTGACTGTCTACCCTCTCGAGATGTTGCGGTCGTATTCCAAGCCGAGTTTGGTTGACCTGAGTCAGCTGTGATGACCCGAGGGCGAGGCTATTTTGGTGAAACGCATCTCTGGATAGGATTATTTTTCCTCCAACCATACTGCCTTCTAGGCTTTCCAGAATCTCTTTGAATTCACGTCGCCCTCCGTCGACAATAACCCCGCCATTGCGTTTTTTCCAGCTCCTGGCAGCCTCTTCGAGAACAGGCTCCACTAAACCTGATTCCCGCCATTCTGTGCCACAGTATCGACCGATAAATGTTGCCAGAAGTTGTAAAGCAGAGGAAGTCAATGTGAGGCTATGCTTCTTGGTAAAAATACGAAAGGCTACCGGCCGTAGAGTTGCTGGGGGAAGGATGATCGGTAAGATACTCGTCTTGGTTGTGGCCGGGCGGATAGGGTATATTGCCGGATCAAAAGCAGGAGGTAAGGATGTAGCTTCCCTAGCCAATGCGACACCAGCATTCTCAGTCAAGAGAGAAGTTTGTTTACTTTCACTGGTTGAGGTGGGTTGAGGCATATTTCTAGACTTGGACGTGTCAAGGATTAAAATCGAGTCAAGGCATGTTCGCGTGGGCCCATGAGTGGAGAATCATACACGCGCGTTCATTTCGCGCCTCAGAGGGACTGGGATGTCGTGCCTTTCTGCTCGGCGTCGTCGCGGTAACTCTGTCGCAAACAGTAGTTAGTTACTGCTCTTTCATCACTTGCGCGACATTCTTCCATAATCAAATTAACTACCCTCTAGTCTTGCTTGCAATTGGGCATTCTTCATATGGCTGACTCCAAAGACCTACTGTCTAATGACATTCCGTGCAATTCCCTGACCGAGCTCCCTGACACCACGCAAATCTTTGAATCTGTAAAAGTCTCCGTGGCAGACTTGTGCGCAAGGGGAAGGACTCAATATGCGCATAAGAATTATGAGCAGGCGGTTGACCTATATTCACGCGCAACTGAGCTTCAGGCCGAACTAAATGGCGAATTGAACCCAGAAAATGCCGAAACCCTATTCCTCTACGGACGCTCGCTCTTCAAGCTGGGTCAGAGCAAAAGCGACGTACTGGGTGTCAAGACATCCAGTGAAAATGTCGACCAAAAGAATCAAGAGAATTCGACGACAAAGAAAGAAAATAATCATGAAGAAGCCGAAGAAGCGAGTAAAAAGGACTCAGAACCTTCTACTAATGTAAAGAGTACAAGCAATTCAACAGCTGATACCAAGTCAGACCCGCTACTGCAAACAAAAAAAAACCTTTTTCAATTTACAGGAGACGAAAACTTCGATGAGTCAGATGAAGAAGAGGAGGTAGGCAGTATATTCAGGTAAAAGTTTCTTCTCCGTCTAATTTGAATGCAGGTGAGCAAGGAAGGAGAATGCGAAGAAGATGATTTGGCGGCCGCCTTTGACATATTAGATCTAGCGAGGGTACTGTTTGAAAAGAAGTTAAAGGAACCAGAAGATGTAGAGGGCAAAGGAAAATCGAGAGGCGACTCACCGGTGACAAAACACTACAAACAGCGGCTAGCAGATACTCATGATCTCTTAGCCGAGATCTCTCTCGAGAACGAAAAGTAGGACCTACGGCTCTCAACCTTGACAATAGACTAATTTTTCCGAGATTTCCAGCCGCAGTAACTGATTGTAGAGCTGCCCTTGCATATAAAAAAGAGCTATATTCCGAAGAGCGAAGCATTATAGCTGAAGCGCACTACAAGCTTTCGCTCGCACTTGAATTCGCCTCAATTACCAGCACTTCTGATGCAAACACCGATAACAAAGAAGAGACACTAGAGATAGATCAGGCTCTCCGTGATGAAGCCATTGCGGAGATGGAGGCAGCGATCGAAAGCACGCGCCTCAAACTCAAGGAGAAGGAATCTGAACTAGCCAGTACGGGCACATTAGAAGAAAAGGAGACAACAGCTAGCCAGATGAAAGAGGTGGAAGGCATGTTAGAAGAGCTAGAGACTCGGGTAAGTAAAGGGCTATCTCCAACATGAATTAGCTAATACAAGTTAGTTGGTTGATTTGAAAGGGCCAGCGGTGGATATGAAGAGTGCGTTGTACGGCTCTATCGCGCCCGGAAAAACGCCCCTAGAAATAGCTGCTCGCCTAGAAGAAGCCAAGCAGTCTGCAACTGATGTCACGAACCTCACTCGCAAGAAGGCTAAGACGGTCGACATATCGGGCACTCCTGAAAATAATGGAAAGCGCCACGCGGAAGAAGAAATCCAAGATAATAGCCGAAAGAGAGTGAGAACTGAGCCTGTTGAGGACAAGTCTCACTTAGTCGACGGGGAAAAAAAGTAAAAGTCTATCGGTAAATGATTGTGTTGGGCTGCGAGTTTCTTTTTTTTAAATAATATGTCCAAGTTCTCGATGATATTTGACTGCATAGATCCCATCTGGAATGGCTCTGGTAGTTACCACTTCAACCTCAATACCCTAAGATGAAGATTGACTGTACATTATTAATTGTTCTACGTAAGGTAACATTCGCCGTCACGACCTTGATAATTAGTTTCTTATACTCTGCCAACTATGAATATAAGCTCTGGGAATATCAAGAACAATATTTTCTCGTGAACTGCTGCCAAAATATCTGACAAAGCTTTCTAGGGTGGCAATACTGTGTCGAGTTGCTATAATTAATCGGCCGTCTATTAACATCAAAATCTAATCTCCTTGACTATGCGGAATATCATTATCTGGCGTTCAGGCTTTAAGCTAATAATTTCATTTAAAATTTACTACTTTATTTGGAGCCACTCGTGGTCTCAAATTGGACACTCCAGTGAAACAAGATCGCAATATGAGATAGCTAACTTCAAATCTTTTGTACTCCTTCCCTTTCGCGTAATATTATTTCAAAAAGGAAGAATCTGTTACATTTAGGATCTTTTGTCAATAGTTCTAGGTCAACGAACAAATCAATAAGGCCAACTTTTCAAATCGAATATGAAAATTCAAGTTAACTCATTTCAATTTATCATTGGTCTAAATCCCTAGTGAATGACTGAGAAGATCGAGGAGACTGTAGGTTACTCTGTGTTCCTCCCCACAGCTATAATGCAAAAATATAGACTTAATTCACACCAACCATTTTATTTCTTATGTCGGACCTTTTATGAAATAGTTATCCACCAAACAGTTTGGTACCACGATGTTAAATCGATAGCTCTTCCAACCGTTGATTTCAATTCATTGGTCCCTGTACTATTCTTATCTTTGGTATAAAAGAATGCTTCGATATTAAATTTATCTTACCTGCGATGAGCATTCTTGGCGGGAATAGGCGCGTTTCGTCATTCCTGATGTTCAAATCTAGATGTAAGTAGCCATAGATTTAGGAATAGTTATTCAATTAGTTTTCGGTAATGTGTGGCGAGATATCTCTAATCGCTCTGTAGTTTTAATGTTGGCTAGTAATTCAAGGAAGCCTTGTCGCAAAATCTTCGCGGTGTGTCATGAGGTCATTGTTCCTCGTTTTGTTGACTGTTATGCGTGAGAATATTTAACGTTTGATACTCTACTGCTTGAGACGACTTTAGGACCTAATCACGTGTTTGAGTGATTGTGTGATAAGCTTCAAGTTGGTAACCGCCAATTCAGTGAGTACTCAGTAATAGAGTCTCATTTAAGATTGTAAAGTGTCAACTTACTTTGCATCAGGCACAATTTCACCCGACAGCATTTGAAGGTGTTGTGTCTGACCCTCCTCTTAGATGAGAAGATGAACCTTTGAAAAGTGATTGCCAGATAAAGGCCTCACTAAGAAGTAATTCGATATCTTTTTCGGTCCAGTCTCTAGTGGGAAGAGCCTGTAAAAACATCATGATTCCTTGAAAGTCCATAGTACGTAGTTTGTCGGACCACTTGACTAAGAATGCTACACAGACGTAGAGGTGAAACTCAGAAAAGCCTTGTTCTTCGGCCTGTGAGGACTGTTAACAATATTTTATTTGGGGGTAATGATCGTATTACCATATACGTGTCCCACATTCGAATGGTATTTTTGACACTTATCTCTCTCATTAGTAAACAGTTCATCCATCTAAAGCTGAACTGAATGAATTCAATGCTTTCTGATTTGAAATGATTCGCAAGCGGTTCGTCGATCCTGGCCGTGAGATCACGGAGTGCTGCAACCTGACGCTGTATCCCAGGTTGCGCAAAGATATAATTATCTTGAATCCCATCTAATAATTTTGTTAGGCACCAGAATGAGTCTGCTTCAACTGCATCCAGTACAGCTCTCGGTAACTGTCCAGGATCCATCCCACTTTCAACATCCGAGTCGGTTATGTAGCTTGCAAGAAACACTTGCCAGAATGGTGTCACCAAGTCATTTATACCCTGAACATACCCACTCGCCGGATGTCGCACCGCCCAAACATATAATATGCGTTCCAATGATCGTTGTGTTGCCTCGTAACCGTAAAGTTCTAGATGAGGATTGGTTCTAGGAACATCAATACTAATTTGGTGCCATATTGCCTCGTCTAAGCCCCTAGCTTTCCCTGTGGAAATTGTGCTACTTCCACCCCTTTCAAAAGCTTGACGTACGCCGTCCAAGTATTCCTTTCGCTTCCTCTCTAATGTTAGTACTCTACGTTCACTACTTGTCGGTAGATACCCAAGAAGAAGTTGCCACGTCATAGCTCTTACTTCTTCAGGGATACCAGACCACGCTGCTGCTCTCAGACCTGTCAGACTTATTGAAGTTGCTTGCAATATTTTTTTGAACTTATTGATCCTCGTAATTCTTGCCGAATGAACATCGATTTCTTTTTGTAATGCATTCAAAGAGAGAGGTGGGTGGTTTATTAAATGCAGCGAGTTTGCTGGATCACGAAGAATCTCTTTGTACTGTGGCCTCAATATCTTACCCTCACTCTTTTTAGGCACCGGGTATGTCGGGGTCGGTCTCTCAATTGCAATGTCAGTGCTGTTTGATTGTCTTCGTGATGCTAACCCGCTAAAGCCACCATTTGGTAGTCCGTGACCTAGATTTACGTTGCCTTTTTCGAGAATCATTTGCTTGCCGGGAGTGAAATTTTTAGTTTTCCGTTTAATGCTTGACATGCTGGGCAGTCTGAATTCATCATCATCATCAGTATCAAATCTAGAGTCGTTATCATCTGCGTCACCTCCTGCGTTCCAGTCATTGTTGGTGTGCGACAAAAATTCAGTATATGCCTGGCGCGGAGGGTAGTTGGCCTCTGAGGTACTACGATTGAGAAAGACATCCGCAGAAGATGTAGGTAGTATCGTGGGTGTTTTTGGTCTTGATGATACTGAGCGTATCGTACTGATAGTCGTGTCAGTCGGGCCTTATAATAATGACAAAAGAACGAACAGATTGTCAGCTTTCATAATATCAGCGTGAGAATACGAAGCCCCCACGACTAATCCATGGTCTTGCGCCGGAGGTTTCGAAGCGGACTCCCCATGCTTTTCAAGTATTCGTGTACGCCAAAAAGGAGATGTAGGTCTATTTTATTATCGCTCTGTTAGTTTATTAAACCTACCTAAGATGCCATGTCATCAGATTCCTGGATAGAAGAATAAACATACTCGGATCTTTCTGTTATATTCGTTGTCAGTCAAACCGCAAGTGTATATCGTAAACAGTGTGAAGTTGTCTTGAAGAAGTTGCCATGGCTGGGTATTAACTAACCAACTTGTACCATCTCCTGCGTCCGATTTGCTGTCAGCACTAGACCTTTCTAAGTTGTGCTTTGAAATTTCTCACCTGCTGCGATACTCTTTTGCTCCCATTGAAGGAGGGGAACATGATTGCAGTTTATCGTACGGATTGCCTTGGCTCCAAGAGAACGAAATACTTGTCATCCACTGGTCTGTTTCCGGAAGCGGATCCGCCAGGAAGTTTACCGAACTAGTAAGCGGCCGCATAGGAAAGTCTGGGTACTTAATCTGAACTGGCCTCAGATTGACTTTTAGCTAGCACGTAACCTCCTCACTACCACTGTGCCTCTTGTAGACATTTGCAACACTTCCAGCTCAGATCGCCTTCTACTAAGAATTTGAAATTATAGAAACTAACGAGCTGCTGCGACTATACTGTCATCATTTTGACTGCGTGCTTCTAATTCTTTGTCGTCTTTAAAACTCCGGAATTACATCTACTATGACAGAGCCAGACAATTTCGAAGAAGACCTATTTGCAGACTTGTGGGTATTATTTCTCATTTTTCACAAACATCCTGTGCTCGGCATACATGAGATTTCCCAGATAATAATTTATTAAGTCATAACTCCTTTAAATTACGATCAATAATACGATATTCATTGTCGACTTTCAAATGACGAAACTAATTCATACTTGCAGATATACCGAAGATGAAGTACCTCAAAAAACTGGAGTTGAAGCAGCGCAAGTAATAACTAAACAAGAACCTATCACCCAGCCTAGCGTAAAAATTGAAGCACAATATAGTCATAGTGTGCAGAATGGTGGTGAAACTGAGCAGACGTTCAAAGATGAACGCGATCTAGTCAGCGAAGTCGAGTTTAACCTGAACAGTAGCGCAGTCGGTAATTGTTTTGATTCATCAGTAGACGCTCATGGGCCTGGGATTAAAGAAGATGGGTAAGAAAGCATTCAATTTTTTTCCTTTTACACACTGTTACAATCAGAGTACGTATGGCTATAGCAGTAGAAAATTTTCCCTACCCATCACTCCACATGGATAGAGAACGCGACAACATATTGTCGAACGATATATATGCATCAACTCTAAGAAATTTCGGTCAAAGAGTTACGACGACTTGTTATAAGGGAGACTCAGGAAATGAAGAAGATATAAAGAGAGCAGAAGATGTTGAAGAACGCGCCTGCAGGAATTTTTGAGGCAATACATGGGATAAAATGGGGCAACTTGGGTGCTAGGCATTTTGGCAAATTACTGGGACGTGATTAATTAAATTGCTATCCATGGAACTCAAAAAAACGCAATAATGAGGGGTGACTGTTAAAGCCGCTGGAAGATCAAGCAGGAATGGCATCTATAGCTGGGAAGACTCTGTTACGCCTCTTGCATTGGCCACCAACAGCAACATAGTTCTCTACTAAATAACCTATATTCGAGATAATCTTCATAGAATTTCAGGAGAAGAAGACCCAGATAGGCTATAGAAGAACAGGCCGCGCATAGCGCTCCACGCCAGTACCTAGCATCACGATAGCATAAGAGACGATTTTTTCTTGGATGTCTTGCATTGTCATTCTTTGTTAAATGACTTCTTGGAATGATATGGTAGGGTGGATGTGCGAACATCACCCTGGCCTGCGCTACCCCATTCACGCCTCAGATATGTATCCAACGACTACCCGGACCAGACATACAGCGAAGAGATATCAAGCTCCTCCTATTGATTGAATGATAAAAAGACCTCATGGTCTGTAAATGGATATTTAGCCATAAGACCTGAATTTAAGCGATGATGCCGTATTTCAGCATTCATGTTAGACAAGGAATGCGAAGAATCTTTGGCGGCAGCTGCTCTATTTTACTTGAAATCTTATATACCATATACTATGTCTTTAAATCTGGAAGCTTGTGCATAGGCTAACTAGATGGGTTTTCAGGAAGATGTTCATTGGTGGCTTAAATTGGGAAACGACAGATCGTAAGTCAGCATTGCTTAAGCGAAGTAAGCTCTGCCACCTATTCTTGTCTGACTTGATTTTCTCTAGAATCTCTTAAAGAGTACTTTTCTCAGTTTGGCGAAGTAGTCGAGTGTATGGTGATGAGAGATGGCGTTTCTGGTCGGTCAAGAGGCTTTGGATTTTTAACTTTCAAGGATGCCCGGACAGTTAATATTGTCATGGTTAAAGAGCACTACCTTGACGGCAAGATTGTAAGATTTGCTCCATCTATTATTTAGCTTAGCCCGTCCCACCACCGAAATATGCTGACTAAATAATTGTAGATTGATCCGAAAAGAGCTATTCCAAGGGATGAGCAAGAGCGAACCAGCAAAATATTCGTGGGTGGTGTCAGTCAAGAAGCTACTGAGCAGGACTTTAAGGAGTACTTCATGCAATTCGGACGAATTGTTGATGCCACTCTTATGATGGACAAAGACACTGGTCGGCCGCGTGGATTTGGCTTTGTGACATTTGATAGCGAGGCGGCTGTTGATGCATGCCTGTCAGTGCCACTGGAGATCCTTGGAAAACCAATCGAAGTAAAAAAAGCCCAGCCGAGAGGAAATATTAAGGAAGAGGAAGAACCCCGGAGCAGTCGGGGGGGGCGATTTCGAAAAGCTGAAGAGACTCAGAGCCCAAGTCAAATTCAGCAAGGGAACGGCACTCAAGGAACTCAAGGTGGCATGACCCCTCAACTTATGGCTCAATACTGGCAACGTATGCAGCAGTATATGGCCATGATGCAACAATCTATGACGATGGGTAGTGGTCGTGGTATGCCTGTCATGCCTGGTGTGCTGAATCCAGCAATGATGATGCAGATACAAGCTATACAACAACTACAGAATCAGACAAATCGGAGTCAATCTCCTCAGAGCCCTTCGAACGCAATGACAGGTATGACGGGTATAAATCCTGCCATGATGCAGCAGATGCAAGCAATGCAACAGATGCAAATGCAAAATATGAGTGCTGCGGCTGGCACGGGATTTAATTCAGGTGGAGCAAGCAATGCTGGAGGGCGTGTTGGAACACCTGGCTACAGTGCATATGAGCAGCAAGTTTTTGAACAGCAAAAGTATGAACAACAACAACAGCTGCGAAGAGGCCCCCGAGATCAGTATGCTGGGCAGGGTGGATATAGCAATGGCATGGGTGGCGGGCCAACATCATGGGAAGGCATGTATGATGATGTACCTCAGCCCAATATCCCTGTTGCACCTTCTGGCAACAACCGCGGAAATGTTCAGAGTGGTGCTCGCGGCGCCAGTCGAACATCAGCCCCACCGCCAACCGGTCCCGGTAGTGCTCCACCCGCCAACGCTCCGACTGGTCCGAAGAACGCAGGAAAGCCTGGTGCCAATTACCGCGGTGGTGGGCGCGGTGGAAACCGGGGATTCCATCCATACGCACGTTGAAAGTCGATACGAATATGGCAGCGCTGTTTGTCTTCGCAATTGGTTTCCTTGATCCCCAAAAAAAGCTAGCCGTCTTATTTCTTTCCATTGAGGCTTAGGCGTAGAAGTCCTCAAAATCGGCGTTTGATGATGGTTCTTTTGCGCATTCCCAACTTTTTATTCTAGTATCTCCAATTCTCCCTTTGTACCTCTGTTGCATTTTACTTTGGTGTATGATATTAGTTTCCATCTCTGTCTCTGTAAATTAGAGCGTGCTGAGGGCAACCTCTAACTTTTTAAGGCACGTCTGCGACCGAAAATGAATTCTCTCGCTATTGGATTTAAATTGCGTCGGTAAACTGGGATATCGTCAAGATTAAAGAGGATCAGATAAAATTCAAAGTGTGAAGGACGCGATCTGGTGAGGATTTGCAAGTCTCTTGAGTCATAAATGGCTGATGGGCAGGAGTCTTGTACAAGTGATTTTTGTTATCTTGCACTAGCATACCTCAGGGCGATTTACTGCTACCATAACTCCCCTCTGAGAGGTTAATTAGGCCTATATAACTTGCGGAAAGCATCAACGAAGCGCCCCACCTCTTGGTGCATGTGCCTCAAAATCCATCTGGTGGCGCACAACAATTTTTTACTGTGAGACATGGATACCTCTTCCAAAAATCGAGAGCTAGATATCCGCCCAGTCACTTATCTACCAGCTGTGTCTCTTGAGAATATCACTTATCTACAATAGAACTAGCGGCATTCATAGCCAAGGAGTTGTGCACGCCCATTCTTGACTCTTCACTTGAAAAACTCGCCAAGTGCATGTAATCTAAGATGACAACTGCGTTCCTGTATACAAGCAATCCCTCCAGATAATTTTATTCTTCTTCATCCCCATTCATTTCTCTTGTTTGATGTCCTATGCAGTATTTATACACAGAACCATGAAGACAGTAAGCAATGTTAAGAAGGGGAAAGCTTTTAAGCAACAAAACCCGCTGTCCAACTACATTGAACCGTCCCGACTTAATGCTGAGGACGTTCCTTTTAACCATAATTTTATAACCTTTCTCCAAATTTCATTAATTCCTCTTTCGATCAGACAATTTTTTGGAAAATTTTTAAAGAGAAGGCACCTTCTCACTCGGCGGGTGTACTATTCTCAACACCTGTCAGTGGTGTCCCCTACGAACCTCTAGCTCTCACTATAGAGTCTGCAGAGCCGAGATTGAGTAACAAAGTCCTTCCTCCGATGAGGTTTCCCAATCGCTTTTGCGATCTGTATCGTCTTCATCTCTCAACAAATTCCCCTTTCACAATTATCATAGAGCTAACCACGATCAGATTAGATGGTAGGGTCGGAGCCCTACTTATCACCGACCTTTGACCATGGAGGAGAGCCATCCGATGAGTTTCCAGAGCGTACCCAGCACCCGATACGGCGATGGTGGATTGGATCAAGTCGGCCTCGATTGTTACAAAGAAGGGAGATGTAGATGAATATGCGCACCTCATGTGGTCCCGGTGTCTAGGCCTCGCCTGGCTGGGGCTACAGGTTTTTTGAGACTTTTTCCCGCGCACGCAGTTTCTATTGCTACCATTTTTATTTTTTTGGGGTAGAAGGTTCCGTGGAAACGGTGGCCGAATTCCACGGGTAAACACTGAGCTGAATGGCTATTCATCAAGGGGAATATATCAATGATCTTTCAAGTAACAAAAGAGGGTAGGAGCACTGTACAAGGTGTGGCCTGGGTCAGAGAGATGCCCAATGTGCTAGATAATCATAGACTCAAGTAGTACAATAAAAACACCCACACACGCTAACTTTCGAAAGTTACATGTAGGTTGGGCTAATGGTTCTAGGTAAATCATGCATGTGGCTAGCTCTATTTCGTGTCACCAAGTTGTGACTCGCAGTATGAATGCGAGGTGGTGAAAGAACGTTTTGAGATCCTCTTATGGCCAAACTGTACCTGTTATGAGAAAAATACAAGACAATGGTCCCCTGACCCTAGACTAGTCGATTATTTCAGAAAGAGCGTTATGTAATTATGACTATTTGTCGGGCTATCACCGGCAGAAGGTTCAGAGAGGACTAAAAATGGGGACTCTCAATAAATCATAGTTAACCAAGAGACCTCCGTGAAAGTTTCGAAAATATTCTTGATAGAACTAATTTGTTTTCATTATTCTGACGTGGCGTCTTGTGGGCCCATGTAGGCATCTACTACCTACATAGACTATGTATCTAAGGGAAACCTTATTTTCCAAGGATTGTTATTCCCAAGAAAAGGCTAATTTGGAATTAACTCGTAATCACCGTCTGGTTCAAATATACTCTTGAAGCCAAAGATAATTAAGGCCAGAGCTATAGAGATGACCCATGCAACTGTACAGAGAATCCACGACAAGCCAAGCGTCCAACCTTCGAAACGTTTGTCATAGTTCAGAATACGGGCCTAATTTATTCATTAGTCGCTAGGTAGATAGATGGCGGGTTCTTGCAAATGACACACCACTGCCAATGTACAAATACATTGAAGTATACTCCCTGCCGACAGGAGGGCCGGTATTAGATTCCAGCCTCGTTGACGCCTCCGCTTTCCGCCTCGGTTGACGAAACTGATACCGATGAGTGTGACCATGTCCGCGATCAACGAAATCCACATGAGGAAGCAGATGGAGCGCCACGTGAAGCAAAAGTAGCGATGTGAATCATGGCACTCGTCTTCCGGAGGGAATGGCTGACAATGACCGGGAGAGGCACAGGATACATGTAACCCAATAGTACTATAGGACTGTCTCCCATCGGATGTCTGCATGGACAATTTCGCCCAGGACGGCAAGTTTATGGCGATGAAGGTGAGGAAAGTGGCTTGGATGATAGTTAGATAAGCAAAGAATTGAAGTCAAGTAGCTGAACGAACGTACCACCCACAAGGATAGCCAGGCTGCTATAGTAGATAGTGGAATGAGTCATGATGATTGCTCGATACTCTAGATAATGCGAGGAGAATCATTAGTACCGAAATCCGCAAAATTTCCACTCCAGGTCGTGATTATGTTGCGTTCTTTAACATCTGAATGTGCGCTGGGGAAGCTAGGATTTCGGGGTTCTGATGTTGGAAACAACTTATCGCCGCTGTTGACGGATATAATTGAGGTCTCGCTCTTTCGGAACAACTTTTAAATATTTTTTGTAGTGAGTCCTCTGATACAACGTAAAGCAATTACTCACACACAACTGCTTTTGTTGATCTGTTCCTCAGCTTGCTATGCTTACGATCCACGTCTGCAGGCCATCTTACTTCTAGCCGTTATGTTGATGCCTGGCCCGTTTCCGTTGGCACTTCCCAACAAGTGAGAGACTAGGCGACCAAGGGATTAAACCTCTACGCTGTTTTCATTTAATGTGTGTGCAGCTATAGAGCTATGACACATGACCGGTGCTATTTATACATGTGGGATGACCCTTTTGACGTTAGAGACACTCATACTCTGGATTCCATTTGCAAATACCACTACGAGGTATGTTCGCTTACAAAAACAATCGACCATCCTGCGTAAGTACCCACCAAAGGGAAATCAAAACCAATAATTATTCATGCATACCTTTGTCATTTGTGTATACTGGCGCCGCGAGAAGGTTGGTTGTGTTTTGCCGGATTCGAGCCAGCGATCTCCTGTCTCCAGTGGGATATTTGTCCTAGCTGTCCAGACCTTACTTGGCAGACCGGCCAAGACGATGTACCACCGCACCATCCATTCATAGCAGTGTTTATAGTGCAGCCTACAATCTCGAAAACAAGAATCTCTGTGCTTGCTCGCACCAGAAAGTGGTTGTTTCCACAATGTCTCCATTCCAACTTGTGAGACGTAGCATTCCGTCCAGCGACTCGGTTCGGCAAGAAACCAAAATGCTAGTTTATATAGTTGTCTAAGGCCGCACTATATGTCTTCGTCTCCAAATTTTGGCCCGTGCTGCCATGGATCACAAAACTACTTCTACATACGATACGTATTCGTCACAATTCTTCTAGTTGTCTATATTTGGATCACTGGGACTCCGAGTTTGTTCATAGGGCTCAAACCTAGAAAGATACTGTACATATACCTTGGTGTTCCTTGTTTATTTTGTTTTCATGCACAGCTTAACTACTATCTTCTGCGCTACTTTCTTCAGAACTACTGTCTTCAGAACTACTATCGCTGGAACTACTCTCACTCGAAGATTCATCAACGACCGTCCTTTGCTTCCGCTTGCGAGCGTTCTTCTGCAAAACACCACTACTTGATGCCTCTTTTGATAATTCAATTGGGGTATCGCAAACTGATCTTGCAGTGTCAGGAGAAGACGCCAATTCATTTATTATCATCTCAGCTCTCGTCCGTTTAATAAATCGATCTTTGATTTCTTTTTCAGTAAATTTCATCACTAGTTCTTCCTCGTAACCGAGTTGACGAACTACAAGTGCCGAGGAGTTTGCAATATAATCCTTTATTGCCATATCGTATTCTTCCTGTACATTCTCTTGTTTTTGTAACTCTGTTGTAAACTCAGCCAACCCATTTTCTTGATCCTGTACTTTAATAGCTAGAGCTGTATCTCTTAATCTGGTTCGAACTAAGCCTTGTAACCCTTTTATATAGTCGTATACTAGGTGAATATGATCGGATGGAACAAATTTGGGGTCAAAAATATGCTGTAACAATTGAGACTGATGGTTCTTTTTAAATTTCCAGGTCTCTCTATTGTTATGGTACTGCTCGAGGTAGGAGAGAAATGGCGGGATTTTGCTTGTTTCAGTAGTATCAGAAGTAGAGGATTTTGAAGGCTTTAAAACATTTAACGGACTCGAAGTGTTTTTTTTGCCTTTGGGTCGCTTTGAGCCTTTGCTATTTTTTCCAGTTTCCTCAAGGTTTATATCATTATTCTTTGAAGGGTCAGAGACTTGAGATGAATTCTGCTTTCCTTTGCTAGATTTTGGGTTAAATATGGCACTGTGGGGCTTTTGATCGGCAGCCCAAGAATTGTATAACCTCTTAATGCTATCGCCATCGTCAATTTTGGTATCGGGAGTAAACTTTACTAACTTCCCCTGGGTAGAGGTTGGGGTGCTAGGCTTTCGGATAACAGGCTCGATTGTTCTTTTTTCTGTCTTCTTGATCTTGTTGCTCACAACGCTGTCCTTTTCTAATGAAGACCGCTTCCTCTTCAATTGATTTTTGTTATCAAACTGGATGCTGTTATCAGTTGGCAGTTGTGATTTTAGTTTGAGACCAAGTCTTTTCCAGGCTGGTATATGCTTCTCTGCTACTATGGCTGTATGTGACATTCTTCCAAAATCGGCACTACATGTGATGGAGATCATATCGTGAGAAAAATCTCATGGTCCGGGCTGATTGGCTCATCCGATCACGTGATGACATTCATGCCTAAGAAAAAAATAAATTACTGAATTATCTTGATTTGGCGACTTGAGGCCCATGCAGGTTTCATCGGAAGGTATGTAACTTTAGCAGTGTGGCTCGATTTGATGTTTGGAACACTCACACTCAGATTTCATTTGAAGATACCACTCGAGGTTATCCCTTACGGCGTACAACCTCCTCCGTGCATATCCACCACAGGGGAAAAACGTGTATGAACCATGTTTATCCGAGTGTGCTTTCATCATTCCACAAATACTACATCACCGCGAGAGAGTGTGATTTGTGGGTTCTACTGGTTTCGAACCGGCTTTCTCCTGCCTTAAATGAGGTAAGTGTTCAAGCTAACTAGTATCTATTTGGGGGGAAAGCCCGAATGGTGTACCACTGCACCATCCAACCCTCATGATTAATATTACGGGTCTTGTCTTTATCCTCCATCAAATCTGATTCGCGTTTGCAAATTGCTACGACATACTACTAGAAAAGAAGTACATAGTAGACAACTCGACTCTAAACAATTGTACTCGTGCCGCGGATTTCATCCGCAAGTACTGCTGCCAATTTGTGGCGGCTTTTTCTTCAGCCCAAGTCAACCCTCATCCGTGGGCTCCCACCCAAGGAAACGTCTCAAACCTCCTCAGTTGTCCAGACATATCTCCATCATTCATTGAGTTTTCTCCGCGCGAAATATGGTCTAAGGCGTCTCGTTCTCAAGTGGAACATGTGCCCAGGCTACTCAAGCTAGACGGGAGAACACATGGAGGCAGACCACGGCACCTTTCATCGTTGCCTTGGTTTTACAGTGCCAGCTGCACCCTTTCGGGTCTCAGCGCCGTTACGATGATAAAGAATTAGTCTCAATCCTTGTCCTCGGATCGGAGAGAGAGCTGGGTTGTTCAATTTCCTAACCCCAATTTTTAATCATATCATGTGCGAGGACAAGTGTCTCTTCTTTCTGTTGTGTTGGGTGGAAGGAGTTTTGTAGAACAGTTTATTGGCCAGGAACTAGAATGCAAAGATTTCGGAAACACAATATGAGAAAATGGCAGACCATCAATTACGATGGGTTCAAGGTTTCTGAACTACCAAATTAATACCATAATACAGATTTAAATCAACTTTCTTTTTTCTTTCGGTAGCTAAAGTAGGTTGATCGCGTCTCGCGACTCTCTCTACCGATACTTAACTAACCTATTCACCATATCAAATGATTATATGACAGCCCAGAGGGCTACGCGAAATGTGTTCTGAAGTATGATGTGCAGCTGGAATATACGGATTTGATAATAAAGTATAGACTCTTAAGTCGTTACGGAAGTCACTTCTCTTGGGCAACTGTATATAAATTTCCATAACGTCAGAGTATGCTATGAAGAATGTGAGAGATGTTGAAACAGATGGAATGAATAGAATCCCTATTGGAAGGTTATCATCCAGATAATCGGTATACACTGCCGCTCAATCTCAATCACAAATTTCTTAGGCGCTGTGCAGTTGCCAGGACTCACCCTCAAACTAACTCGTGTAATAATGTGTGCCGGCACGACGCAATCTAAATAAAAAATCGAGTAACGCTGCCATCTTAACCAGTGAGACATTATACAAGCTCATTCTGTACCAAATTTGGGGGCCAATTTCGTAAGTCTGAAGTCAATATACTAGGAGAAAATATTTAGATATCCCAAAGTCACTGATTTTTTGCCTCCTGAATTATCACTATTAATCACAGGCCACATTACTTTGCATTGCTGTCTCGCTGGGTTTCGTCAGTCGATTGTTTGGATCTTGTTTTATGCCATTTCTGATCACATTATTCACAATACAGTTTGACGTTTGTTTGGATTATTGTCCTTCCTCAGCTTATTACTAAGAAAGAATCATAAGATCTTTCTGCTTACTATTAAAGAATGCCCGAGTCTCGGGCTGTATATTCTCCACTGTATCGATCTTTTAGTCCTCTTCCTACAATATATTGCCTCAAAAAGTCTTTATTCACTCATACGCTCCGAGAAGCCCATTATGAGACGGGCTAAGACTTTCGGCCAATGTACGAAAGCTATGTAGGCAGAAAGGACCTACATGTCCTTGCGTAGTCATAGACTCATTAGGATAATAAATACTTTCTTACCAACGAAATGCTTCCATTAAATGTTCATATTTTCGATGGAGAATTTAGGAGCGGAAAGCTACGGCGTTTTATACTGTAATGCCTGTTACAGATCTCCTGGTCTTTTGCTAGTGATCTCATGATACTCCTGTACAGTAAGTAGATTTATAAACTCTTTTGCACCTATGAGATAAAGATGGGCCCTGTGATAATATTTAGCCTAGCCACAACCAACCGGGCCTAGTCCGCAACACACTATCCTCCTCCACCAACATGGAAATGTTAGGCTATTTGTAGGTGCTTGGCATCCAGGAATTATCGAAAATACCACTACTTCTGACTCTCGAGTGAGTTCGACTAACTAGGATATTGAAAAGCTCATATTTTTGGCCTAAAACCGATTATTTGTATTAACAATGCCAGTTTGTAAAGTTTCTTTCTTATCTTGAGGTTGAATCATTATTTTTGTAAGTCCAATTTACTGGCTACTTGATAAGATAAGGATTACAAATTGGGCTAACTTATAAGGGTTAACTAAATGGATTTGAAGGTCTACAAAAATATGAAAGATTGAGATGCAGCCTTACCCTGGCAGGTAGAAATATTCTGGGATCGTAGTGTCGTGTAACACTAGAGTTGGCATTGGGAGGGCAAGACTGAACACCTGTACGCGGTGTCCTCTAAGAACCTGGGAGTGAAATATTCTCCCAGAGCCAAGTTCAGTCAAATTTCGCAACATCAAAGAAGTTGGCCCACGAGGCAATGATTCAAAATACTCCACCATGTCAATCTTTCACTCCCAACGAAATCGATTCCTACCTAAGCCTCATCAAGTTTACAAGTACGACCTAGTACATTCTCATCCCAATGACCACACCTCTCGTCGACTTTCACTGGCCTTAGTTGACCGCCAAATACACGCCCACGCCGATATTTACACCCGACGGAGGAAGCAAAGCGTGGCGCACAAATCTGGGAGGCATTTCTATGGGATGGACGTGAGAGGGATCAGGTCAAGTTTACAAGATGATGCAGAGGATTGGATACAGTCTCGACGGGAGTGGAATTTTGAGTTTCGGAAAGGAGTTTTTACGAATTGAGCTTTGTGCGCGCCAAGACTTCGCTTGCGAGAGTGCAGCTGACACTATAAACACAAGCCAACGATGGAAGGTGTTGTGGTCCGCCTCCTGGTGGTGTTCTCTGGTATAGTTTGAGTAGCCTGGGCACCTACTCCACTTGGGAAAGAGACATCTTAGATTACATTTAGCGCGGAGAAAAGTTGATGGATGACGGAGGCATGTCTGGATAACTCAGGGTTTTTGAGACGTTCCCCTGGGTGGGTATTCACGGATGAGGGTTGACTTGGGGTTAACAAAAAGCCGCCATAACTTCGCAGTGGTACTTGCAAATGAAATCCGAGGCATGAGTGCTCTTCCTTTACGTTGAATCATCTCTTCTGTACTTTTCTTTGATATTGTGTCATAGCTAGATAGCTGCATACGCAATTAAAATCTGATAAAAAAATAAAAAATAGAGTTGGCATTAAGCCAATTAATTACTTGTCTACCCGTCTATCCCTAAAAATGAACTGTAGGGTATTATCTATTGAAAGAAGTCAGGGAGAAATAGTAAGGCTATATTATGAACGGAAAAATAATGGTAGACGTAATATTTCACAGCCAGATAACGTAAAAGTCGAGTGGAAGAAATGGTTGTCATGAAGAGAGAGAGTACACATCCTGACATACACCAACCTGGCCCTTGTCATTTCCAAATTTCTCTACCTATACTTCTTGGTAAGGTGCAACTACTTCATGCGATAATGTACTCCATGCACATCTTTGTTTACACATAGCATCCCAAAAATGAGTTATGTGAAGATCTACAATACCCAAGGTTCAAATACTCACAGTGACATGAGGTGAAATTGGAGTGCAGGCGACACTATAAACATCGCTACGGTTGGATGGTGCGGTGGTACATCATCTTGGCCGATCACCCGAGTAAGGTCTGGACAGCTAGGACAAATATCCCACTGGAGACAGGAGATCGCTGGCTCGAATCCGGCAAAACACAACCAACCTTCTCGCGGCGCCAGTGTACACAAATGACAAAGGTATGCATGAATAATTATTGGTTTTGATTTCCCTTTGGTGGGTACTTACGCAGGATGGTCGATTGTTTTTGTAAGCGAACATACCTCGTAGTGGTATTTGCTCATGAAATCCAGAGTATGAGTGTCTCTAACGTCAAAAGGGTCATTCTACATGTATAAATAGCACCGGTCATGTGTCATAGCTCTAAAGTTGAATACACATTAAATGATTTAAAAAAAAAGATGTGAGCTTGTCCAGCCAACCATATAAGCTGTGATAGATGATATACAGACCTATTCAAGATGTGGTAAGTGTTTTTGTTACAGGCTGCGCCTATCTCCTACTGACTGTCGCACGGACACTCATCATCATTACGTCATTAGCCTTGCTATCTGAAGAGATGTCCACCATAGCCACACAAACACAGGGTTGCAACAAATATAGAAGCAGGATATTTTGAATTTGATTTCATTGTCCTGATTTGGCGCCCAGTGGGCCCATGCAGGCGGCTATGAACCTATCTAGGTATTTACATGAGGGGGAAACCATGACGATAAAAACCCCCTCCCCCTATTAACTTTTATATTTCATCTATAGTACTTCGTTACCTATAGGAAGTGCAATTGGCCATCAGTCCGAGACAGGACTAGCTAAAATTATACTCGACCTCGCCATCTTTTCCCTGCCCTCGCGTGCTAAAAAGAGTTGACTTTGGTCTTGAGTTTGACCCCGATGG